ATAAAATAAATTAAAAATTTTGTATTGTTCGATACATATGCGTACCGAACCGTTCACTGCCTCACTGTATCGAATGGTTCAATATCGATACGAGTATCGTTGCACCCCTACTATCTATCTATCTATCTATCTATCTATCTATCTATCTATCTATCTATCTATCTATCTATCTATCTATCTATAGTTTGCAGGTTACAACAGAAAATTATTTATCATTCTCACGTGGATGGGACGTTTTGGCTGATAAGAGGTTAATCCCATCTGTGTAAACTCGATGCATATAAACTTTAACACTCAATATACCACATTCTCAACAAGTAAACACCCCGTGTTCGTTCCCAGACGTCCCATAAAAATACTATTTGCTCTGATTGTTGCACCAAACTTTACTGTATAGTGTAGTTACTGCTTTTGATCTTTGTCTTTTTAAGTCTTTCTGCCCCAGTCTTGTTTGGCCCACAGCCTTCTCCTGTGTAGAGAGAACAGATTCTATCAGAGCCGTTTACTTGTTGAGAACGTGGTATAATGAGTGTTAAAGTTTATATGACACACAGACTTGATTATCCTTTTATCAGGCTAAACGTTCTCGTTCTCGTTCGCTGTCCGTGCCCAGTGCGCGCTCCCGACGCACGGGAAACAAATTCTGCCGGGGAAATAACTACCTTGGCACACCTGTCTGGAGTCTGCGTGTGTTTACAGCAAGGACCGCGATCCCTGTTCACATTCTTCTATCCTTCTGGAACAGGAGGTAAAAGCGGAAACGTTAAAGAGCTTAATGAATTTAATGTAAACTTTTGTCTGTAAGATTAGTGAAATGTACGCATTATTCAAAAAAGAACCACTGCAAATGTGTTAAAGGATTCTTGGTGGAGTGGGAGAAACATTGTGTGCTCATCCTTATGCCAGTCTGTCTGGAAATGAAACTTATGACATCGTTACGTCAACTCAATTTTTTTTTCTGTTCAGACCAAAGTAGCAACATACATTTAGATTTGGTTCTTTCAAGAAACAAATGCCTGAAGGGAATTAAGAACTGAAAATAATAATGTAAGTTGTTTTTAAATGGTTTTTAATATGCCATCGGGGTAGTTTTGACTGAATGAAGACGTCTACACAGTGGTGGAAAGTAACAAAAATTTCATTACTGTGGCTACTTAAGTAGAATTTTCAGGTATCCCTACTTTACTTGAGTAGTCTTTTTTTCTGATAGACTTTTAATTTGACTCCCTACATTTTTAAACAAATATCTCGACTCTCTGCTCTTTCCATTTTCAAATAAGGCTCCTTAGTTTTGGTTTAAGGCGTGTCTGAGGGGAGTTATTATTTCTGTCACTGAGCCTTCAAACACCAAATAGTCTCACAGTGTGTTGTGAGCTAGAGGTCCAGATGCTGTATTTACAGGGAGAGAAAAGCTAAATTAGGTTACTTGTTTGTTGATGTTGGTTTGATCTTTTTTATTATGATGATGCAGGAACAACAGCCTGTTTTAGCCTTGGAAGATGTAACTAGGTTGCTAGGCAGATTTTGCCAGCTAGCTACTTCTTTTCTTACTTTTGTGTGTGATCCAAGAGGTTGCGTTTTCGTTTGTTTGCTGTGTTTTTGCACATCTGCTTCTGCAGCATTAACTTTATTAGCACCAATCCATCTCCACAACGCAACACACCCTTCCTACGAACGTGTTACACTCAGATTTGCATTACTGGTGTTTGTGTGACAGTTTAAGTTTCATTTTCTTTTCTACGCAAAAGGCAGTGGCTCTTTCATTTGCGGTCTGTCCTGAGCTGCAGCTGCTGGTAACATCTACTTACAGGAGTTATGTCCACGCCTCGTAAAGAGATACTCAGGTAAGTTTAACTTTTAGTATTACAAAGATAAAGATTGCAAAGATACGTGAGTGGCCCATAGCAGTCATACCCTCAAATAACAGCAAGAAAAAAAAAGACCTGGCAGTACAAACAAATGTTAGAAATTAAATGGCTGCAAAGTGATAAAGTGAAGTTAGACATCTCCAAAGGTTGACTCTGTTCATAGATAGAGCATGCATCAAGATGAAGTTAGAAAGTAGTTGGATTCTGTAAATCGCTTCTAAATCTGAAGCAGGTTTCCTTCCAGGCTGCTGCAGGGACGGTGACACACACCTGCACCTGGCTATATCACCACATTTTAATTAGTTTCTGCTTTTCAGACTCATGTTTTGAGGTTGCTGATATTGTGTTTTAAGTGTAACATGTCAAACTAAAAACCTTCAATTTTCATGCTGTTCTAAATTTGTTAAGGGTCTTCCTCTAATGTGTACTTTTGTTTTTCTTATTAGCTTTGGTGGCTTTAGCATTGGACCTCCAGCAAGTACAACCAAACCCTCAAGTTCTAATGGATTGACAACACTCACAGCAGCTCCAATTACTTCAGTCCAACCTGCTTTCGGCACAACAACTCTCACCAGAGATGATAACAGCGAAGTCACAAATAGTTCAGAGACAAGGGAACCAAGACCTCAGTTCACATTCTTGGGTGAGCCTCCTTTTACACAAAGTTCTTTTGTCAAAGACCCAAATAAGTATGAGAAACCTTTAACATCTCAAGTCCTGTGTTTCACCACGCTACTGTGAAGCTGTCTTTACACAAAGTGCAAATAGCTTTGGAGATCCATGATTTCCTCAGGGATTAATAGTGATTCTGGTAATAAAGTTGGACATTTTGTTCTTTCTTTTTTTGGTTACAAAGTCATTTTAATCAGTGGCATTCAATCAGGGCAAGAAAGACAAGCAGTGCTTATCTGGTGAAATCTACAAACAGACATCAGTTACAACATAACAAAGAAAAGGGTGTTTTTCTTTCATCTTAAACATCATTCTGACATGAAGCTTCTGTAATGCCTGTTGCCATTCATTCTTTGCATTACTGCCATCTTGTGGTCACAATTGTTTATTATCTCTGGAAGCAGAATGAACTCTGCTTGATTACGGAGCTGCTGAAATCCGAATGGGGTATTAGTCCTGTGACAGACTGGCGACATGTCAGGGTGTACCCCTTCTCTTGCCCTTTTGCTAAAGTACTGGTTCTGGGTGATTTTTATATATAATAAATATATTTAATACACTTTTTAAAATTAAGATGTAGGCCTGTGTTTCTGAGCTGGTTAAAAGGTGTTTTTTTTCCCTTTCTTTTAAAAAAGACAAGGACAACAACTAAATTTTTCTGTAGAATAATTATTTTTGCTTATTTTTTGTGAGTTATTAGTAATACAGTTTTATGTGTAGTGAAGTGTTTTCTTTGTGTTTTATTGTTACTTTTGCTAAAGTAATGTGTCTGAAAAAAATCCTCTACCATTGTCAGCAAATAGTAAAACTAAGTTTAGTTAGATGACAACTATAGTAGTAATATAATTTTACAATTCTTTAGCCAGGAAGGAGTGGTCAAAGGGGAGGACACCCAGGAAGAGTTCAGGAAAAAGCTGTCAGAATGGTATGTTTGATACTAGTCGAACTTTCAAAGACAGGAGGAAAGTGTTTTTTTGGTATTATTTTTTTTTTTATTTTAATTTATTTTATTTGGGGGGGGTGTCTTTGCTGAAGTCACTGAATGCCACTGCTTTTAACCCTAGCCTTGATGAATGTTAGAACTTTATATAAATACAACAAATACTGGCTATTTTGTCAAACCGCAATTCTTACATTTTTTTTCAGGACTGAAGTTGGAATCTCCCTGGAGAAACATGGACTGGACAGAAGAGTGAGTACAGTTGTGCTGTTCAATGAGCTCCTGATCAACTAGCAGGAACTAGTAGATGTCAAGTAAGTGCATTTTTAAACTTTCAAACACAATGAGTCACTGAATGTATCACTGAACCCAGGCGAAAGACAAGCTTGATGGAGGCAATCACCTCCTACAGACGGAGCTGTGAGGAGGTGCCTCAGGCCCGGGTTCTCCTCCTGGGCCCGGTCAGTTCTGGAAAGTCGAGCTTCATCAGTTCAGTCCAGTCTGTGTTTAACGGAAGAGTCACCAACCGGGCCATGGTGGGCTCCTTCTCATCCGGTTTTACCAAAAAGGTACACGAGGAGCATCTGCATGTATTTTAAATAAGTGGAAAAATAAACACAGAGATCCTCATTTAGTTTCATGAGATTATTTAAGCATTTCAAAAAGGGAAAGGATCCACAAGGCCTCTCTTCATCCATGTCAATGAAACTAAACTTTAGGTTTCTGTCCTATTAACTTCCTTTTTGTGTGTGCCAGCTGCAGTCCTTCAACATTCGGGGTAAGAAGGGTGAGGATCATACTGGGCTGGTGCTGTGTGATACCATGGGTATGAGTGAAGACGGGATGACCGGACTGACTCTTCATGACATCCTGTCAGTCGTTAAAGGCCATGTTCCTGAAGGACACAAGGTAAGCATGCCTTGCCCTGTTTGTTCTCGTTTCAGTGCCCCATCCTGCCTCACTCATTCTCAGTTTGTCACCCTGCCTCATTGGCCTCAGATGTTCATTGAGGCCTAACTCCAACTGTGGTCTCAGGCCTAGTTCATCGCTCACCCCATCCAGCTTTCATTCATCTACTATCAAACTTTATTTAACTGTGTTTGAGGTTGTGGTCCTTGTCAGTGAAGCTGCGCACTTTTTGTTCCCTATGAATCAGCAATAACTCCTTTATCCTGTCATGCTGAGAGTGGGAAAGAGCCAGGTTTCACCCAGGACATGTCATTAATCCATCACAGAGCTAATGCCCACAGCTAATTTAGGCTTGGCTTTAGAAATGCATGCTAGGTTAAGTGGGAGAAAGCTGGAGCAACCAGAGAAAATGAGGAGCAGGAGCAACGTCAAATCACCCAGAAAGTCAACAGTAGCTCCAAACCCCTTTGTAATGCCCGATATTTGTTCCCATCAGGGTAAACTAAAGAACAGTGATGATCAGCTGACTGGTCATATAGTCCTGTGATGTAAAAGAAACAACAAAACAAATCAGTTTCCCAACTTCTCTGACTAGTAAAACAACTGGGATCACCATTACCCATAGCTGTACCTTATGGTTTGTGCCAACATGTAGAATTGTGTACATGAAGGCACACAGCATAGTTCTTTTTAATACTTTTTCTTTTTTAATAACTTAAAATACTTTCTCTCTTCCAGTTTAGCCCAGACCAGCCAGTCTCCGCCTCAGAAACTGTGGGCTATGTGAAGAGGCCGAGCCTTAAAGACAAAGTCCACTGTGTTGCCTTTGTGGTGGACGCCTCAAAAATCACAACTTACCCCAAAGGCCTGAGCACCACATTTAAACAGCTCAGAAAGCACATCAGTGACCTGGGTGAGCCGCAGACACACGTTTACACAGAGCCTGACGTTAAAGGTTGCGTTGCTTGAGTTAGCTGACTTTTGCCTCAGTGCAGCTGCTCTTTAATAATGTTCCTAATACTCTTTTTTTCTACATTGTTAGTGATTTTTTTCTTTGTATGAATTAGGCTAAAACTAAATGGGTTTCAGGTTTTATGTGAACATATAATAACAGAAGAAATCATTTTAGATTGTGTGATTTTTTTTCTTCTTCTTTTTTTTTGTGTGTTTTTTTTAAATAGGGTCCAGTATGACAGAGTATTAGAGCTACATTAAGAGCAGATTGTTATTGATCATTTTCAGAATAAAGCCTGGATTTCAAGAAAAAGTCGAAATGTGGAGATTACAGATGTTGTTTTGAGATAAAACGCCGCGACGCTTTAAAATACCTTATGTAGATGAGTTAGTGAAAAAGTATAAGGACGATGGTGAACGCTGCATCAGGTCAGAAGGACAACAAAGAAAGCTGAGCAAATGTTTATCTATAGAACAAATGAACTGAGCACAATCTTTAAAGGATTCGCATTGTCTGTGCAAGTCTTCATCACAACAGTGTGTTTCTGTTCTTTAGGTGTTCACCAGGTGGCGCTGCTCACCCACGTGGACCAAGTTTGTTTGCAAACAGCCAAAGATGTCACTGGTGTTTATGAGAGCCGCACAATTCAGGATGTGGTAAGTTAAAACAAACCAAATACAGT